CAAACTCATATGCAACCTTTTACAGGCCCAGTGCAGTGTTTTGGCTGTCAAAGGTACATTTTGGTTCCTACTGATAGTTATGCAGAAGTCAAGGTATTTATGAGGAAGATTTTAAATGAGAAATATAAAAGGGAGTTTTGCTATATTTTGTAGGCCATGTCGTGGCATTGAGGTATCAGAACCAGATTAATATTTATGTGATATAATTTGTTAATAGGGGAGGATCAAGCATCTGAGGAGGAGAACTGTTGTCCCAATGTGAGATTAAAGGTGGATACTAATCATGCACTGGACCTGGAAGAGGCTGAACTAGACTCAGAGGCTGAGCTTATGAAGAGTATGGGATTGCCTCTTCAGTTTGGGGGGCAGTCAGCCCACAGGGACTCTGTGGTAAGTCTTTACTTGCTTTATTTGTTCTGTTTGCATTGTTTCTAGACAGAGGGTTGTGCCTACTCTCAGTTATTTTTGGGATGGCAGTTCATGGAAACTTATCTGAGCTGCCTTTAAGCTGCCTGCCTTGCATACGTGTGAACATGTAAAGCACCTTGGTTTGTGCTGTTTGTAAAATCCACCTGCCAGTTTGACTAAACAGGGTTAGGCTATGCTTTATGCTTCCATATCTACATTGCTCTTGTGAATAAAGAGACCTGATTTAAAACAGCTGTGGTAACACTGATGCTCTGCATCAGGCCAAATAGTACACTTCAGTCTGAGCATGCATTTTCCCACGCTGTGCTTTAACCATTTAGCTTTCAATACTAATGTAAAAAACTAGCTTCTCAAATCCCCCAGCAGATACAGCCAGGCTGTTCCAAATGTCAAGAGTGGGACTTTGGTGCTCAGCTTCCCATAGGGAGCATTTGGGGTTTAGAAGAGGACTAAAGATTTTACAGATGAGAAAAAGACAGTGGGATATTCACAGTGTCCACATTATGGAATACAGACCTCCCTGGCAGTGAGAGAGCACTTCTGTGCAGAGCACTGCATGGTTCTGGCCTGATCAATTTGTAAATAAATGGGAGCAACGTGTATGTGATTTTAATTGATGTCATGTAAATAGACCATACAGGCATCCAACTTCAAGCTCAAAGTATATATGCAATTTCTGTTGCTATGTAATAGCAGTAATTTGGAAAATAATATGGTTCTTAGTAGATTACTGCTAAGCATTGTGCTTTGGGCTGTGTGTATTAACATGGCATTATGAGGGATGTGGATAAAAGATTAATACCAGTTCTCTGATTCTAACTTCTTTTTTGTCCACCTTATGCTTTAATCAATGCAACGAAACTAGGGATTACAGCTGATGGGACTTTTGGAGTAGTATCTGTACATTTGCAGTCTTTTTGCCCATGTGAGTTATACTCCCTCATCACGGCCTATTTTTGACCTGCCAAACTTAATTTCGCAGTTTATGAAAAAACTGGCAGATTTATCTCATAGAAGAACTTGATTTTCTTTTGTGTTTTAATCATATATGTAGCTGTAAGCACAAGAAGCCTCACTGAAACAAATAGAGTTGTATTTGGGGAAAACAACAAGTTGCCTTAGCATTCCTTTCAGTAACAGCTCTCTGTCTTCTGTTCCACTAGATAACTGTAGGAGCTGAGTTTGTTGTAACAAGTGAAATGGTTGTATTGCATAAATGAAAGGGCTATCTGTTTGGAGAGGAGGCTGTTGTTCCCTTGTGTTTCTGTTAGCCAACTTGGAGATCAGTATGGGAAGGAAAAGATATTGCACCTCTCTTTTGGGTCAGTGTCTTCAGACATACCAGAGATTCAGCCACAAGATTTGCAGATCTTATGAGTATAAAGCCTTCTTTTTTTGTTGACAACACCCAAAGACAGCAAGGATATAATGTTCTATGAGGCTGCTCATTATATGCTCACGACCCTAATAAGACACTAAACAGTATTTGCTGGCCAGGCAGATACTGGGTGAAACTAAGAGTCAGCTTCCACAGCCCCCTAAAAATCATCCTTGATGTTACAGGGATACCGTTTTGCTGTTGACCCCTCAATTCCTGACCAACTTCCCTTTAGGATTTTAGTGTCGATGTCTTTCCTTCTGAATCCTTAAGCTGCTAATGACTTCCCTCTCAGCAGCCCCAAGTCTGTCTATAATTCTGCCTTTGTTTTTTTTGCATGTCTTTCTATAGACTTTCTTACAGCTCTTTCTCACAACTTCCTCAGAAGTGTCAGACAAGGTTATGCAGCAGTGCCCTATCAGACCCAAAAACTCTGCAGCCTTTCTGGGGAGAAAGCCAACAGCAGGGTTGAGAGGAAGGGTTACAACAGGAACAAAAATGTGCTTGGAGACTGGACAAGACTATATATATGTTGTGGACTTCTAAGTGTGTTTTTCCATTGTATTTTAGGCAACAGAAAATTATAGAAAGAAAAGTAACATGAAGATTATGAAAAAGAAAAAGAAGAAGAAAAAAGAGTTACAGCAAAAACATGAGGATAAAATGGGGCAGGATTGTGAGGATCAAGCTTGTGGTGATGGTATCCAGTCTGTTTCTGGTGAATTGGTCCTACCTACGGAGCAGTGTGAGAAGAGCAGCAAACCTCAGGTTGTAATTGAAGGGAGCTGTGAAGGTTCAGAAAGCCTTGCAAATGAGGCTTTTCCCAGTGAACTTAAAGAAAAATGGGAGAAGTACTGGAGCGAGTACGGTGAGGGCCTTCTTTGGCATAGTTGGTTGGAGAAGCATCAAGACGGCTCATCATCTGAGGTCCCCACAGCCTCTGAACCTTGGAATAGTCCAGACACGAAGGAGGAGTGGGAACAGCATTATAGTGAACTGTACTGGTATTACTGGGAACAGTTTCAGTACTGGACAAGTCAAGGATGGACTACTGAGAGCTCATATGGTGACAAGGTGGAGGTTAATAGGGTTATACAGGAGACTGGTCTTTCAGGAAAAATGGACTTGGTTAGCCCAGTGCCTGAATACAGTGAAGTGCTGAGCTTGGAGCTGTCTCCCTCTAACACCAGAAGTGAGGAAACACTCCCTTCAAGTGCTGAGCCCCACAGTGAAATAGTCTCTGGGATTTGTAATTTAAATCTGAATTTAGAGGCAGTAGAGCAGAGCAGTTCAGCTTTAACAGTAGCTCACCAAGGTCCTCAAGAGCATAGTTCATCTGACAGTGGAAGCCAGAAGGAGCCCTGTGATGGAGGAACCAGAAAAAGGGGTGCATCTCATGAAAATAAAAATGTTAACCAGTCAGGTAATACAAAATCAGCTAAAATTGATTCTTAACAGAATTTTTCTAGGTGGTTATATATAAGAAACAAGGGCATGTCTGTATTAGGTATTTTTTAACTCAAACAAGTATATTGTGGAATGTTTGCACACTTGATTCCCTTTTCTTCCCTCTGCTTCTCTGGATGATTTCTCTCCTCTCTAGCCTGTATATTGAATGTGGTTTTCAGCCAGAAGTGATTTTAACAGAACACGTACTTCATAAATCATCAAATGCACTACAGAGAGTGGTGAGAGAGCACTGGTTAGTGCCTATTCATTTATTTATCTTAGTATTGTATCGCAGCTGTGTTATTCAGCTGATGTGTCTTTTCTTACTGATAGTCTAAAATGAATAAAAACTCAGGTTGATGTTCTCAGGAGTCTGACAAATTTTAAGAATAGCTTGTTGAGGAAAAAAGTAGTTCTGCATCTGCATTTTTGGGAGTTGTTTTCTTTGGCCTTCTGTCTAAAAATGCCGTACTTGAAAATAAACTTTGGTTTTATTGTACTGTGTTACTCTGGACCAGATGCCTTCCAGAGGTCCTTTCCAGCATGAAGTTACCAATTAGGCAATGAGCTACAGTCATATTGAAGCCATGAATTTAAACCATCATACATTCACAACTAGTGTTAACAAGTGAAAGTACAAGGTAGTGCAGTGTGGTGAAAGCCAGTGACTGTGCCTTACACTGCTTAAAGAACTTCTTGAGAGATGTACAAGATGTGGCTGGAGACTTTTTTGCTGGTAAATTAGTTCAGCGTGCAGAGAAAGGAGAGAGCCATCTCATTTGCCTGCCAGTTCTTGCCAGTGTTCACTGCAAACAACAGTGTCACATCTTTCCCAACTTGTATGGTTCCTCCGGCCGAAGAGGAAGGATGCAGCTTGAGTTGTCAGCAGCTTAGGACTTCAGTCTAGTGAGAAACCTCTGAGTCTGCTGCTGGTGACTTTCTGAGGGAGGAAGAAGGAGGTGATCTTGATCCTACAGTAGAGTTGAAATGGGAGAGGTGAATGGAAAAGCTCCTTTCCAACAAGAAATGAGAGGAGCATTTAAATCTCTTATTAAATGTATGTAAATATCTTTGTATGGCTAATGAGACAGAAACAAAGTTTTACACACAAGAAAAAGACTGTTCCAAATTTTGTACCTTGTAGGCATTTTATTTTTCTTGGAGAGCTGAGATAATTTGAAGTTCGTCCTGCATAAGATTGTTAGCTCTACAGTGCAACTACTGTAACTAGTACTGAAAGATTTATAGCTATATTGTCCCTCACACAAAGACAGGTAAAGATATGTATGTTTGGCACTTGTGCCTTATTTGTCAGATTCAGGTATGTACAACAGTCTTAACTGTAGCTGCAGATGTGCTTTGGGGACAGGAAGATAAGGAATTGATTTATGCAGAAGGAAAATATGATCTATCTTTTTAGGTGTGCAGGAGTCATGTAGCTTGAATTCAAATGGAAAAGAGCAGTTGCTGCTTCATGACCAAGATGATGATGAGGATGAAGAGCCTCCTGAATGCAGACATGCCAAAGTCAAAAGAAGGCAAGTCATGAAATTTAGATGAGGTTTTTTTCACAGAAAGCCCAGGTCCAGAAGCCTCCTTATTTATAGTAGCTATATGTTTGATTGAGGATGTGAGTTAAAACGTCAGTACAAAATCTCATAGTCTTCCATCACTGCTTATCGCTTTACCTGCCAACAATCAGTGCATATTTCTTCTCTTCCATTGCTTTATGAAAACAATGTATGGCCTCAATGACTGTGCAAGGTGATGGTACTATTCTTGTGCCATGGAAGTATACAAGATTGTTAAATTGCATAGGACAGCTTGCTTATCTAGATCTAATTAGTATAGACTACACAAGAATGATAGTATAAAATTTATATTGTTTAACTGAATTGCATGCTGCCAGTAAAATGCTCAGAGCTATGGCAGTCATAAAATAGCCAGTCTCTGCCTTGTCACAGTCTTTCTTTCTTCTCTGAAAATATATAGCCTCAAAGATGATAAGATGGCTCTTCCTCTCAAATAAATTTGCAAGCTCACGGGTTAAGGAATGGATGGAATCATTAGCTGCTAATCATGTAGCTTTGGCTTTGTTCTAGTATTTTGCTGTTGTCATAGCATTAATAATAGCTAATGACAGAGATAACTTAATGGATGATGAGGAAGACAATTTGGAAATAGGGTGAACAAACACTGTCTTCATCAGTTCCATGTGGGGCTTGATATTAAATATTTTAAGGGGTCATTCAGAATAGTTGGAATATTATAACCCCAGTAGAAAGACATATGTCCCTAGAATTGGGTAAAAGAGACCCCAAAAACTCATACACATGAATAGACTGGGGTTATCTGCCTTGTTTGGTTTCAGCAGTGTGTGGAGGAACATGCTGAAGCCCACATTTAAATATTTTTAGTAAGTGGGATTTTTGGTGGTATGTCTGTAAAATAAGAGTGTTTTTTTTTGCAGTAAGTGACTGTCATCTGTGGTTTTTCCCTAGCCATGAACTGGATGCAGATGAAAACCCAGTGGAAGATCCTGAGGAAACCTGCTCCCTGTTGGGTTTTAAGTGTGGCACAGGACAAAAGTAATTGCTTATGAGGAGCTCAGGTTTTCTGCATAGAAGTCAGCTCTCTTGTTATTGAAATAGACCATTCATCGTCATTCCCATTTGATTAAACTTTCAAAGATGATTCCCAAAGTTTCTGCTCTTAATAAAACTGTCATCCTTTGGCTAGAGAGATAGATGCAAACTTCCAGAGTCTAGTTAAAGAGAAGTGGTCTGAAGCAGAAGTGTGACTCATAGGTACTTTCAGTCATGTAAATGTTAAATGGCTGCTCAGCTATTTAAATTAGAGCTTAAAGGCTCTGACAACAAATGGTCCTTTCAGTTTGGAGCCCTATGAGCTTAGATCAGAATTTATAGCTGTTTCATACTAGAATGAGGTTGCTTTATACTCATCAAATACTGATATACTAAAAAAGTATTGTCAGGGTATTGACAGTGAAATTTCATTTTTGGTGGTGTGTCCTAAAGATGGTCAGTGTTGTAGATGTAACATCATAGGGCACAGGTGGACTGTAGTGCTTCTGAAAGATGCAAGTTTTTTAGTACATACCTGTTTCAAAGAGAGACGTTGACAATCTCTGTTTTGCTTTATAAAAGGTATTTAAGTGAACTGCACATATTTCCTCTTTGGGTGTTTGGTTTATTTGAGTTTTTTATTGCATTTGCCAGAAGACAAAATTAGCTATTTTGCAGGTTCTCTACAGCCACCAAAAAGGTCTTCTGTTCTAATAATCAAGATATTTTTTCATTTCCTATTCTTTAGGCTTGTCTGGGAAATTGCTTCCATCTAAAGTTATACATCTATTAGAAAAAAATAATTAAAAATATAAACCCAATTCGGTTAAACATTTTAAAATAAAAATATTTAAAATTTGTCATGCAGGTACATTGTTTTGCAGCTCCATCCAGTGACATATATTTGAAGAGTGGATCAAATGTCTTATTGGTCTAAATCATTTTTTATAGACATAAGTATTCATGTTAAAGCTTTCAGACTGGAAATTAACCAACTAAGCCCTTATCTATCTATGTGTTTATTTATTTTCAGGTATGGTGGCATTCCAGATTTCACCCACCGAAGTGTTCAGTACGTGGAAAAAAAAGCAAAACTCAAGTCCAAATTCTTGGATATGCGTAAACCAAGGAAAAGCAAAAATACACACATCTTCTTTACAGAGGAATCTGAAGTAATACGCAAAAAGAGTAAAACTTTGAAGAAGGTAGGTTTAATTGTTAGTGTTGCTGTAGTTCATAGATTTATCTGCTCCCTTCGCTGTTGATGAATTATGTAAATTAAAAAAACCACCTTAATTGCATAGAGTAGGTGACATTTTAAAGTGTCAATCCACTGCTCTTCATTCTTTTTTTCCCCCCTTCTTTTTTCTCTCCTCCTCACTTAAGTGTCAATCCACTGTTCTTCATTCTTTTTCCCCCCCCTTCTTTTTTCTCTCCTCCTCACTGCCCTCACTTATGTGAAGAGTATTTAGGTTAGGGTGGATATGAGAAGGCATTGATGGACTCCTGGAGCAAGCTAGCACAAGGAATGTGAGCTTAAATGGCCAAGTTATGTGAAAGTCTAAAAGTATCTCTCATTTTGTAGGTTAGTGTATTTCCTGTAACTCCATGTTCTTAGTAATTTGTATCAACAGTTTTGCTTTATACCTCTACCTGCATTTATTTTCAACTATAATGTTATACTTTTTTTTAGCTCAGAAATTAGTAACAAGTAGAAACACTTGTTTGATGGAGATTTTACTTAGTTAAGTCTCTTTGAAAACCTGAGGGAATTGATTTGTATGTTACTTCAGCTTTTTCTGGGATGCTCAGCATTTCCTAACACCCAAGTGCAAAATACTGTTTTCCAGTGGTAACAATACATGTTGTATTGAACTCCAGTCCCATTGCTATAATTTTTGATTAATTTTTGGTCTTGTGCCTGGGGTCAGTATAGTTCAAGGGCAACTTTCATTATGTGAAGAAGAAAACAAAAAGTTATACATT